TAGGTTAAATTTTTTGGTCTTGGTATTTTGTGACAGGTGATATTTAGCATCACATGGTTTCGTCTAACAACTATAATCAGACCTACCAAAAAAGTAACCGCAGATCTACCAAAAACGTAACTTTTGCGGCACACGGTCACTCCACCCGAAATCATGTGAAATACGCTTCCTGAAAAGGGGATGAAGATCATATGCGAATGCTGCAGCATATGTCATCCACACCGAAAAGGAATGGCATGGGCGGGTTGGAAACTTGCATTTGTACATGGCGCAAGAACCAACGGCATTAGACCCATAACGAACAGAGAATTTTCGCGACCCACCCACCCAACCCAAGGAAGACTATGTGACTCTACCATTCCTCTCCCGCACAATTTATCTCTATCCAATTTCCCGCTCACAGCCGGCCTGCTTCGGCAGGCGGGAAACCACCGGCTAGCGACCCAACGGCGACTCCCAGCGCAATAATGATTGCAATTTTCGGGATGTCATTGCCATTCCGGTCAATCTCGGCCGCGTCAACATTATGTACTGACCATCAATTATGTACTTCAATAAAATCATCTCCGGCTTAGTATAAATGCCGGCTTAGCCAAAAACCCCCACGTTAAAACGTGTAATGCAATACTTTTCATAGCCTGAAACTGAAAACGTGACCTGGCAGCAGGCACGTGATATGTGACTTCGGAATGGGGTTTGCCGAGCGGCAGATTGACAGATTCGGCGAATAGCGATAGGTCCAATTAAACAAAAGGGGAAATATGAGCTGCCGTCAATAGAAATCAAATTTAAAGAAAATTAAATCCCTTAACTTTTACAACTTGTATCTCGATGAATTTTGAGGCTATCTTGATGAATTAATATTTAAAAAGTCTAGATCAGTGTTTCGGCTTAAACCTCCCCAAAGTCCGGAACGTTTCCCAGAGGAATTTTAGTTTCGCCCTATAAGTCCGAAACCCTCCGAAACTAGTTTCGCCCAATTTGATCTGCAAATGATCTGCAAAATCGGGTTTCGCCCGATACACTGGTCTAGATCTTAAGCTTTCTTTCATTACTAATTCGTCAAGATAGAATGAAATTTATCGAGATATAGGGTTTTTTTAAAGCGATAATCTGCTTGATTTCTATTGACGGTGGCCCGTATGCCGGATAGGAGAAATTGGAGCAATAAGAGCAATTCTGACCATTACGACGACTTTTTACACCACCTTAAAACTTATGACGCATATATTAATATACTATATTTAAGATATATATTTATACAATTGAAACTACTTGAAGAGGAGATGAGACGCTATATTAATTTTATTAGATTTGGTTACTAATACGTAAAATTATGATAATTAAATAGCAATACGGGATTTTTAATTTGTGCCCAATTCCAAAAAGTCATATAAGACCTATTGTTTCATGTAATAATAAATAGCAATTAATTATAAATAAAGGCCTTCCTGGCCCTTTGGAAGTATATTTCCACTTTATTCTTAATTAAGTTACATATCTAATAAAATACGTACACTGGCTAACAAACCACCTGAATCCTGTTAGTCAGTTACCCAAATCCGATTTCTGCAGAACGATTTACCGACCGACGCTGAGTTAACAATAGACATTTGAGTTCACAGACAATTAATTCACAGACAAGACTGCTAGTTTACAGACAAGTAGGGATGGATCAGTCTTCGTAAAGACCGGGACCGAACGGTAAAAGACTGAGGACCGAATAATTCTCAGTCCTAGGTCCAGAATCTTCCGGTCCTGGTCCTGATTATGGCCTATCGATGGCTATTACTGCTATAAAAAAGTTGATAAACTTTCTAACCATGAATGATAACAGAAATTTCTTGCTTTCAACTTCCAATAATTTTCAGTGTGATAAATAAATGTTGATGTTTCAAACCTTAATAAAAATCGCCGACCAAAAAATTAAAAAAATACAAGAGCTAGGCTAGAAGACGAATCTGCAAGAGTGATTCTATGTTTAAAGAGTTAGCTTTAAAAAGGAATTTGCAAATTGGATAGTTAAACATCCCTGTGCCCGATTTTTAAATTAAATTAGCTACACATATAAAATGCATCTTCATATTTGCGTTGCTTTATTTTTTGTGATATAAATTTAATATGTGCTGTATTTTTATAATATAAATTTAATGTGCTGTATTTTTAATAATATAAAACTTTTAAAAATTTAAAAATTATACGTCGTGGGACTGAAAAGACGTACTGATCGGTCTTATAAGGACTGGGACTGACCAGGCAAGTTCATTTCGTAGATAATTGGGGTCTTTGCCTTGAAAATGACCTTACGGTACATGATACCGTAGGGTCATTTTCAAGGCAAAGACCCAATTTATCTTACCGTCAATTTTTTTTTATAAATTGCACTAACCTTAACTCTAATTCTAAAACTAATTCTAATGATAATGACAAGAATCATTTTGTCTTAAATGAGCTGTCAGTGCAATAAACTGTGTATCGTCTGCGAATTAATTGATTTACTAAATGAGCGGTATCGCATTTAGCATCGTTCATCTCTTCAACTATCCATCCTGAAATGCGCCATTAGCACTCCTCGTCTCTGCTGGTTTGATAATGGTAGTTGTATTAAAGTTTCTCAGAATAATAGGATAGATATAGTATGCTGTATATTGGATAATTAGGTTTTGGGTTTGAAATCTGAGGTGGGGAAGAATGTCTTGTGTTCATATTTCAATTCATTCTTTATAATAAGTGGCCAAGCGCAAATGTTTCACTAGCGTCTGCCGATTTTGATAATAAATGAATACTTCATATTCATCCCTTCCATTTACATAACAACTCTCAACATTAACATGCCCTGTCTCTGCTAAATTTTGTAATAAATGAATGTTCGTCCTTTTCAGCCCCAATTACATTTCGATATTTATTCCTAATCTATTTAAAGGGAATCTACTTGATAACATCAATACTCTCATCGTTATTTCCACTTGTCAATCTTTTCGACTCCCAATTCCAATGTATTAAAGGGAATCCATCAATCACATCAATGTTCTTATTTCCATTTGTCTACCTTTTTACTCCAATTCTGCTAATTTATTAATAGGAATCCGCTCAACCACATAAATGCTGTATCCTTATTTCCACTTGTCCACCCTTGCGTTTTTTTATCAGGTGACATGCCTGCACAATGCTTAAGACATATAAATTCAGCTGTATCCAGGAGTGATTGATGTAACACACTTAATTTAGTCGACTATTCGTACTACCCAGAATTACTATTTCTACGATGTACGTACAGTACATACATTTAAATTTCAATGAACAATTCTTTGAGCAACAATCACGGCGAAATCGAAACATGTAAGTCATAGCGAATATATACTTGTTCAACCTGCGTTTAATTTCGAAATAGTATATTAATTCGGAAAATGATATTAGTATATAAATATTTAGAAAAATTGGAAACTCTTCTAAGGGAAAACAATGTTAAAAGTTTCAAATCCTTGCAATTTAATGACCTTGAGATCATTGGACGTGGAGGATCCGCAATCGTTTATTCAGCCATGTTTAATGAGGAAAAATATGTATTAAAATGTTTAAATAATAATTTACATTTTGATAATAAAACATTTAAAAAATTTATTCATGAGGTGATTCTAGTTATTTTATGGAAGTTTTGAATTTAATTTTTGATTTTTAAAAAAATGCTAATGAGCTCCATATATTAATATAGCTTAAAATTCTTAATGCAATTGATCATCCAAACATTATTCGATTCTATGGAATTTCAAGAGGTATGATAGAACTAAAATCATAAACTTAATCTTGCTTATTTAAATGATTATTAAACTCTAGATCCAAAAACGAGTAATTTCATGATGGTATTGCAATTTGCCAATGGAGGGAACCTACGAGATTATTTAAACAGTAAACAAAAAGAGGGTATATATAAAATCCTATGGGTCGAACTTATTAAAATTGCAACACAAATTACCAGTGGATTAAACTACTTGCATAGTAAAAACATTATTCATAGGAATCTAGTAAGTTTAAATTTGCGACTACTCTCTCAAATATTATAATTTTAATCAATTATTATAAACTCTTAATAGCATCCTAAAAACATTTTGATCAATGATGGCAGTGCATTGATTTCGGATTTTGGGGTATCGAAACAATTAAATGATTCTATTACTAGCGGTTCAAACATTATGAGCACGACAGCCTATACTGAGCCTCAATTCTTTCTAAGCAATAATACTAGACATGATAAGAGATCAGACATTTATAGTCTAGGTGTATTATTTTGGGAACTTACAAGTGGAGTCCCACCATTTCATCGTCGTTCCGAAATAAAAATATTCCTAGACATTTCGCAAAATAAAAGAGAAAACACTATCGACAACACACCACCAAATTATGCGGATCTTTATAAAAGATGTTGGTCTTCTAATCCAGTTCAACGCCCAACACTAGATACGATATTAACTGAACTTGAGAAGTTATCTGCGGATACATCTGTTAGGTTCATTATAAATGACATAGGTAATAAAGGCGAATCTAATAAAATTAGCACTAACACCATAAAGTACAGTTCTTTGATTCAGGAAGTTGGTTTTTATGATTACAACGAATTTTCCGAGTTTAGTAAAATCGGTGAAGGTGGGTATGGCCAAGTAGAAAGGGCATATTGGAAAACTAAACGTTCTATTGTTGCCTTGAAAAGTTTAAAAGTTAAAATGAATTCAAATGAAAAGATTATTGAAGAATTTTTTAGAGAGGTTTGCTATACTAAACTTTTTTTTTTCCTATAAATTGCACATTGACAAATTGGTTGATATTGTTATTCTTAATAATTAGGCCCACTTACTAGCCAAAATTGCAAAGCATAATCATCCTAATATTAATCAATTTCATGGAGTAGCTGAAGATCATATCAATGGGTGTTATTTTTTAATCTTGCAGTATGCAAAAGATGGAAATTTACGGGAATACTTGAAAATAAACTTTATGAAGCTCACATGGATTGAGAAATTATGTATGGCATTAGACATCGCAAGAGGACTACTATATTTGCATAAAAAGAAAAATATCATTCATAGAGATCTTGTGAGAATCGAATTTTTATCACAATCACCTTTTTAATGAAGTACTAAGTTATTTTTTCCTTTTCATAGCACTCTAAGAATGTCTTGATCCATAAAGATAGAGCTATGATAGCTGATTTTGGAATTTCTAAATTGGAGAATAGAGAATTGAAGACTACAAGTTCTACAGGTCACGGGATACCTGCTTATATGGATCCACAATATCTTAAGGATAATAATTATGAACGTAATGAGAAATCCGACATATATAGTTTTGGGGTCCTTCTTTGGGAAATTTCAAGTGGTCAACCACCTTTTCGACACCTTTCCGGTGGAACTGAAGTAATTTATCGAATTTTTCAAGGAAAAAGAGAGGAACCTGTAAAAGACGTGCCTAAGTCATATATTGAACTGTATGAACGTTGTTGGGATGAGGAACCCGATAACAGACCGGATATTAAAGTAGTATTTGATTTTCTAGAACTAATGTCAGAAAAATCTAAGGAAAATCAACTTTTAGACAAAACTTTTCAATTAAGATCTAGGAATATTATAGAAAATAGTGGTGAACTTACCTCGCAAGTGATTATTCCAAAACAAATAAGACGAGCTGTTTCTCGAGAATTTCTAATAAAATCAGAGCATTTTGCACTTATCTCTAAATGGATCAATCAAGTTCCTACTAGTATTTTTACAAAAATTTGTACACATCTGAAGTGCAAGACAATAACCCCTTCTTATGAATTCAAACTACTATTCAGAGGAAGTCGAGATGGATTTACAACGGCTAATTTTCACAAAAAGTGTGACAACAAAGGCCCGACTTTGATTTTGCTGAAAGTTAAGAACAAAAATGAAATTTTGGGTGGATATAATGCATATAACTGGCAGTCTCAACTAAAACCGGAGTGCTATCGTGCAAATAAAAGTTTTATCTTCAAGTTTGATTCTGATAGACCAAAAAGCTCCATAGTTAGTAGACCAAGGCATCACAGATCAATTGAATTAAGGGCCGACTATGGACCTAATTTTCGAGATTTACTCATGATTTCTGATTTTAATAAAGATAATGGATGCTATTATTGCTTTTATTATTATGATATGCAAATTAGGAAATCGGGGTATTTTTCCATAGATGAATATGAGGTGTTCCAAGTTCTAAAAAATATTTAATACTCTAGAATTTAATAAATCCAGTAGCAATTATTAAAGTTATATGTATGCTTATTTTGGTTGTCTTATGGTTTAAGACTATGAATATGGTTTATACTTTTTAAAAAAATTTAATATAGTTACAAATATGCTTTGTTTTTTCTAATTCTTACATTGATGATAAATGTCATTCATTTCTCTGTTCTTTTGCTTGCGTGCTAAATTAATAGCTTTATAAGTATTTAGATTTTCAATATAATTCTCTTTTAAATCATTAGGGTGCTAAATTACCAGTTTGTAAGCATATAATTTATTCATAAAAATGATGTATACATTTTATTATCAATAGAATTCTCTATTAATAGATCCATGTGAATTAGGCCTCTATATTAATCAAATGCGATTTTTTTAAAATAATTAGACTGCCTATTGTAAATACAAAGTGTGTATGCACTTTAAATTTTTTTCTTTTCACGATATAGCTCTCAGCAAGTACTAGACCCGGGTTACTATATGGTTTAATTTCACTGATAATTAACTTATCGACAAGTTCATTTCACCGACAATTATTTCATTGAAAGTTCAATTCACGACAAAGTAATATTATTGATCATTGTTGTTAAAATTAGAGTTAATGTTAGTGTAATTTATAAAAACTACTTGTGAAATAATTGTCGGTGAAATGAACTTGCCGGTATCCCATTCATTATGTGATAAATTTCAGTTTCTAAATTATTTATTAAATTCAGGCGTAAATTATATAATCTATTAATAAAGTGATGCATATATTTTACAGCCAATAAAATCCTCTAGTGCCGGTTACTTTCTTGTTCTTTACATAATAATAATAATAAGCATCAAAATACCAACCGGTAATTAAATATAATAATAAATAAAGCTCACTATTATTTCTCTGTTCTTTCATATTAGGGAAGCGCCGCCGTTTATTACGTAATTTCAAGGGGAGGGTGGCTTTACTTCAGACCTAATTTGTGCCGGTAATACAAACCTCTAAAAAGGAAATTTCGGGTTTCCCGGATCAGCCCGACGTAGAAACCGGATCAACCCGACGAAGCAAAACAAACGAAAAATGAGAAAATACAAGAAACGGTAGTCTAAATCTACTTTTTTTATTAACAAAAAATGTCGGGGAGGTAATTTTACCTATAGCCTCACTAAACCTAACACTAACCCTAACCCAGATCCTAATCCTAACCCTAAAATTTAATAAACTCCGATTCCTATGTTTTCCTTTTTGGTTTGTGTAACCGGCACAAATAAGTAAAGTCGGGAGGGTGGGTCACGTCCATATATTATATATATAAAAATTATATATAAAAATTATGATTGGTTACTAATTAGATCACGGGGGAGGGGGTATGACCTTATAATAAAAAAAATTACAGAATAAACGGCGCTTCCCTTAGATTGCTAAATGATATAAAACGCATCTATGTGGTGGGTTTGCAACTATAATATGATTTTATATATTTTTCTAAAATTTTATAAGTTTTATGTTCATGCTGGGATAGTATTTAGGAATTTAATTATGGTTTGAAAAGGGTTTTGGGGTATAGACCATTTTTACTTAGAACATCACATACCAATTCATTGGGCATTTTAAGATAATACAAAATAGTTTACAATTAAGATCTTAAAAAATTTTCTCTTTCTGAATGAGCTGGAGTGCTTCATATGCTTCTTGGATATCCGGCCTATTGTCAGGTTTTTCATCCCAACAACGTTTATATAGTTGGGCATACGGTACAGGTGTGCCCTCTACAAGTGCCTCCCGTTTTCCTTGAAAAACTTGATAGATTACTTCATATCCACCAATAAGATTGAAAGGTGGACGACCGCTTGAGATTTCCCAGAGAATAACCCCGAAACTGTAAATATTAGATTTTTCATTACGTTCGTACTTATTATCTTTAAGGTATTGTGGATCTGTATAAGCTGGTGTCCAGTCTATAAGATTTAGAATTGTCGGTTCAATCATCATTCTATCATCATGAGCTAAAATATTCTTATGATTCTATAAAATTAAAGCGTTTTGAGTTGTTTAAAAAATACATAATAATTTAAAAATGTAACTCTTACGAGATCTTTAAAAATAATCTTGTTTTTATGCAATTCCATAAGCCCTTCTGCAACTTCTAATGCCATGCGTAATTTATCATTCCATGTAAGCTTATTAAAATTCTTTTTTAAATATTCTTGCAAATTACCGCCATTTGTATATTGCATGATTAAAAAATAATCATTATTGTAATCTTTAGCTATTCCGTAGAAATGTCTAATGTGAGGATGAATATTAACTTTGGCTATTAATTGGATCTATAATAAAGAATTAAAATAGTTACATAATAATAAAGAATTATTTAGACACTTTATATTAAATTTATTATAAACCTCTTTAATAGATTCACGGATAACCGTTTCGTCTATATTTAGATTATTTAGGGTAACTATGAGTCCACGACTTTTCCAGTATGTGTTCTCGCCAACTTTCTCAAAATCAGAAAATTCATTATAAAAATTGACACCAGATTCTTTGATAATTTCATCAACTGAAGAATACTTTTTTTCAATATTGACTTTAATAGAATTATCTTTAGTATCTATGTAATAAAATTCAAAAAAAAAAAAAAAATAGCATTAAATAAAATAATTTATAATAGAATTTTCTGTTTACCTATATCCATGTTATTTACAATAAATTCAATGGTTGTTTCTGCAGATAGCATTTTAAGTTTGATTAAAACCTCATCTAGTGTTGGACGTTTGGCTGGCATAGAAGACCAGCATTCCTCATAAAGGCTAACATAATCTAAGGGTGTGTTAGAAATAATTTTTTCTCGCTTATTGTTGATAATCTCTAAAATCATAGCTTGTACAGGAAGATCAACAAATGGAGGAACTCCGCTTGTAAGCTCCCAAAACAACACACCCAGGCTATAGATATCTGATTGTTTATCAAGTTTAAAATCCTTTCCGCGTTGAAAATATTGTGGATCAATGTATGCTGGCATGCCCATTATGCCAGAGCTTACTGATATAGAATCATTTAACTGTTTTGCTATCCCAAAGTCTGCAATTAATACTTTGCCACTATTCATGAGAATATTCTTTGAATGCTAGAGGGGTTTTATAATAAATAAATATTGCTGAATTTAAAGTTTAATATACAATAATAACAAAACTTACTAGATCACGATGGATAATTTTTTCTTTATGCAAGTATGACAATCCATTAGTAATACCTATAGCTATTTGGATAAGTTCTGTCCATAAAATTTTATAAAGTCCTTTTTCATATTTCTGTTTTAAATAATCTCGTAAATTTCCGTCATTAGCAAATTGTAAGATTATCATGAAATTTTTCGTTATTGGGTCTAGAGTATATTAGACTATATTGTAACAATTTTACAACTTAAATATAACTTGAAGTTTCTAAATAAAATCATTAATATACCTCTCGAAATTCCATAGAATTTAACAATATTGGGATGATCAGCAATACTAAGTAGTTTAAGCTGTATTAAATGTAAGAGTTATTAATATGTAAAAATTTAAGAATAAATAATAATGAATCGCACATTACCTCTTTAACAAGTTTTTTGAATGCATTGTCATCTAAACACAAATTATTTTTTAAACTTTTTATTGCATATTTTTCTTCCTTGAAAATAGCCGAATATACAATTGCGGATCCTCCTTCTCCAATTACTTTAAGATCACTATATTGAGAATAAGCAACACTCCTGACATTTAATTCTTTCAACTTTATTTCTAACTGCTCTGAATATTCCAGTACTAAAGTCACGTATAGTTCATTCTTTAATTTACTTATCAATAATTAATTAGAGTATTAATAGAGGAAATTGTTATTCATACCCCATGTATATCAAAATTTTTTAAACTTTGAGCGATGGTATCTTGACAACCACTAAGTTAATTTTAATGAATTTTTTTTTATTTGAATTCTACAAATCTGTAGAATTCAAAAAAAAAAAAAAGTTCATCGAATTTGGCTTGGTGTGTGTCAAGATATCTTCACTCAAAGATTTGAAAAAATCCAAAACGTCTATAAAAACAAGAGTTGCGCCAAATTGTTATTAAACTTTGAGTGAATATATCTTGACACCCACAAAGCCAAATTCGATGATTTTTTTTAAATTAGAATTCTACAGATTCGCGGAATTCAAATAAAAAAAAAGTTCATCAAATTTGGCTTGTTGAGTGTTGAGATATCTTCACTCAAAGTTTAATAACAATTTGGCGCAACTCTTGTTTTTATAGACGTTTTGGATTTTTTCAAACCTTTGAGTGAAAATATCTTGACACACACCAAGCCAAATTCGATGAACTTTTTTTTTATTTGAATTCTACAGATTTGTAGAATTCAAATAAATAAAATCCATTAAAATTAACTTAGTGGTTGTCAAGATACCATCGCTCAAAGTTTAAAAAATTTTGATATACATGGGGGTATGAATACAATTTCCTTAATAAATGATAACTCACATATTTTTTCCATGCTATAATCTGTCATAGTTGTTAAGTTGAAACAAAAAGTTTTTTTTTATTTTATATTTTTTTTTCATATTATATTTTGTACCACATGCTATTCAAATCGTTAGTTTTCTGTTTTCAGGTTAGCTACTTTTGATAATTTTGGGTTTCACAAATTTCAACCAATTGTAATCTACGTATATTAATTAACTATATTAGTATCTCTATATATCTATATTAGGGTAGCTGCGCAACGCACAATTAAAATATTAGCGCTAAGTATGACACTACAGATCATATGCTGTTTTTTGAAAATTTTTTATTTTAATTATCGCAGCCACGATCACATGAAATTCTATTTCGGTAGGAATAATTTTTTTTTATTCATTCGTTTTTAGAAGTTGTGATTATCAATTGTTCAGTGCATCGTTTGATAACTATAAGGTACAAAAAATGTAATAATGCTAACACACCATGACGTTTGTCATGCGTATACGAGGTCGTAGTATAAATAATTATGAATCATTACTTAAAAGATAGTAGAGCGACATGTGATGCCGCGCAGAACCAGTATAATCACACGTGCAAGTAAAATTCAAAATATATAATATAATTGTACATTAAAAGTCATAGTTTGTGTTGCCCATGATACTATTTTTTTTCTGCATCATTATTGCAATTAATAATCCTGATAATAATCCGTTATCCTTCATCCGGATACAAGATCGGATCATACTTTTTAAAAATTTCGGATAAGGATATCTTATAATTAAACGGATTTGAGGATTAATCTGGATAGTTCGGATATCGGATCGAATTCCTAGGTACATACAGTATTTAAGGTTGATTTAGCTTGTACTAAAATTATTATGATTCATATTATTGGAAAAAATTATGCAGAACTTACTTTATATCCTGATAATTATAATACATGTCTGAATCCATGCATTGATTTGCTAATTCAATATAATGATTAGGTGTTCCAATTCCAAATTTTGGTCGCAATCCTTGGCAAATCATAACTACAAGATCTATATCAAATTTATGACTATCAAAAGGTCTCAGTCCAGTTGTCACTTCTACCATGATGATTCCAAATGAATAAATATCTGAAGCTTGAGTGTACTTTTTCTTTTTTTGTTGAAAAAGTTCAGGAGCAATGTAAGGCAAGACACCATAAATATGTTCTTCTTTTCTTTCTCATCAAGTGGTTTTGATAAACCTAGATCGGTAATATATGCTTCGTAATCTTCTTTTAATAAGATATTTCCCGGATGTAAATCTCAATGTAAATATCTTTTATCATGAATATGATTAAAATTGATATAATATCATGAAGCATCTTTAATTTAATTTTCCATTCAAACTTAAAGATATCGGCAAGATTTTTGCTTAATGATCCATATTTTGCATAACTTGTTACTAAAATATAATCGTCCGTTTTTTCGTCTCTTGATATTCCTAAATATTGCACTAAGCTATGACAAGCTTTTAACTAAAATAAAATAAAATATTATAATTATTTAAATAAAAATAAATACTAAAAAATACCTCTTTTAAGAATGGAACTTTATTCTTATTAGAATCTTTTACGATCTTTATTGCTACATCTTCATGTAACCCAGATTTATTTAAACACTTTTTTCTAAAAACTGTAGAAAATGCTCCTTTACCTATTTCTTCGATATTTTCAAATTTATCATATGCCATCCAATGAAAATATTCTTGTTTTTTGCTAGTACTACTAGCTTCTTCAGAGATAGCAGATTTTAAACACCATTCAAAAGCAATATCTATATCTTTTTCAACAACAACTCCTTTTCAGTAATATTCACCAACACAATACATTCCATCAGGCTCTCCCACATCTGCTGATTTTTTATAGTATTCGAACGCCTTATGATCATCTTTGTCGACTCCCTCTCCATTTTCATAAGAATATCCAACATTCCATACTGCAATAATATATTCCATTTCTGCTGATTTTTATAATATTCGAATGCTTTTTTTTTATTCACTTCAACTCCAATTCCACGGCCATAACAATATCCAACTCAATTTGTTCCAACAGCATCACCCATGTTGGCTGATATTCAAATGCTTTTTGTTCATCCTTTTAAACTGCAATTCTAATTCGATAACAATCTCCAAAAACGCATATTCTAGCAGCATCACCCATGTTAGCAACTTTTTGATGATATTCAAATGCTTTTGTTCATCCTTTTCAACTGCAATTCCAATTCATAACAATCTCCAAAAATGCATACTCCAGCAGCATCACCCATGTTGGCAACTTTTTGATGATATTCAAATGCTTTTTGTTCATCCTTTTCAACTGCAATTCCAATTCGATAACAATCTCCAACAACGCATATTCCACGAACATAACCCATACTAGCAGCTTTTTGATGATATTCAAATGCTTTTTGTTCATCCTTTTCAACTGCAGTTCCAATTCGATAACAATCTCCAACAACGCATATTCCAACAGCATCACCCATACTAGCAGCTTTTTGATAATATTCAAATGCTTTTTGTTTATCTTTTTTAACTCCAATTCCAAAACCATACCATTTTCCAATATTAAATATTCCTGTAGTATCACTGATATTAGCAACTTTTTGATAATATTCGAATGTTATTTCTTCATCTTTTTCAACTCCGATTCCATATCGATAACATTCACCTAAAGCACATAAATGACCCAAATCTAAAATACTCAAAGGCTATTTTTCTATCTATTCCAATATAGCGGCCCTCTATATATTTTGGTCCAAGTTGATAAAGCTCTTCAGCATTTTGATTCATTGTTATTTTTTTTATATAAATAAAAAAGAATAGAATTTTTATTATAGTTGCTTAAATCAAGTTGGTTAATTGATTATTAAATTAACATTCTTTAATTGAGAGCAATTATCAATCTTCAAGTTGGTTTATTGAATAAACTTTAGTTTGTTGTACTAATTTAGTGTACTCAAACGTTACATTATTATGTTGAAATAATTATTAATTCAAACAAATAAAAATTTCAACTTTATGTAAGAGGCTAAAACGCGCATAATTTTCAATAGTAAAATTTTCTTTTATATTTAATTCAATCTATTCAAAACGTTCAAACTGTTCAATCCATTCGAACCGTTCAAAAATATGCAAAATAACTGAGAATGGACTATCACCCGTACACAATATTAATATATGCGGATATTGTGGTTGACCAGATTTGATCTTATATTCTTGTGTAATTCGTATTACGTATTTTGATTGGGTTTACTAAATTTCCCACCACTTTACTATCGGCACAGATACTCCAATATGTGAATAATTAGTAGAACCAATCAGAAGTGACCGGGGCAAAATCGCCACCAAAAATAATTTCATCAATTACGTGATACAAGAGCATGCAACTAAAAAGGATCGAGAAAACTCTACGTATTATAGGTCCCCGCCACAACAATATTCAAATACTACTATAAATTTGGAAAATGTGACCAATTTATCATAGATTCGAATTATTATAAAGTCTTATGAAGTTCTCGGTTTTATATAAATTGCTAAAAAAGGATTACCGAGATTAGATTCGCATATATATAGAATACCTCCTTGCATAGTTATGCACTATTGGCATAAATATGCATAAGTATTTACACAAGGAGTGCATATAATAATTATAATTAAACTCACAATAAACATTATATAATAATTCATCTTGTACGTAATTATAGGAATTTCGATTTTAAGTTGCAGTTTTAATAGTTCAGGGCTGAATCATTAACAACTCTACGGATTTTTTTTGTGGGGCCTATAATAGAGTTTCCCGACCGTAATTAAAATCCGTGTATAAACTCATACAGGGAAGTCCCAAAATTCCGGGTCGGAATGCATTGGAACCTTGGTTTGACGGGCCGGGATTGATCAATTTTGCTCAAGATCACTAAAAATTTTACTGATGAAAGCATAGTCGTCCATTAAGTAAAAAGTGTCCACTAATAATTTTTACTATAGCTCCTGCTAACTAGTATAGCTAACCTAACCCAGAAATTTGTGGAACCTCCTGTAAAAATGTTAGGGGTGTTAAACTAGTCAAATTAAACCATTTAAGTCTCGGATTAGTAGTTTGACATATGCGTTGGTTTAACTAGTTCGACGGTGATTGTTAGCAAATTATAGAGGGAAAATCTTTATATTAAATAACTAAAATTTTAGATATTTTACAACTACATATATTTTTTTTTAAGAAAAAATAATTTAAATGATATGATTTATTCTATAATATATATATACTTATAAAAAACAAATATTGTTAAATATCATTTGGAATTTCTATACCAGCAGATTTACTAAGATTTATTTTGATAATCTTTCTCTAATTTCTGATGTGTTAAATGGTTTGCCAATGTATATCTTTTTTAGCTCTTCTTTAATTATTGTATAATTTCTTTTAATCTTATAATTTCTAAAAACTGTTTTTAAATTCATTTTCGGAATTTTCATTCAAAATTTCCAACCATTCATTTAATTTAGTAATAATTTCATTAGTAGTTAACCTTTTTCTGGATTTGAATTCATGCATCGATTTGCTAATTCAATATAATAATTAGGAGTTCCAATTCCAAATTTTGGTCGCAATCCTTTACAAATCATAATCACAAGATCTATATCAAATCTATGACTATCAAAAGGTCTCAGTCCAGTTGTCATTTCTACCATGATGATTCCAAATGAATAAATATCTGTTGCTTGAGTGTACGCTTCTCTTTGAAAAAGTTCAGGAGCGATGTAAGGCAAGACACCATGAATATGATTTTCATGTTCTTTCTCATTGAGTGGTTTTTATAAACCTAGATCGGTAATTTATGCTTCGTAATCTTCTTTTAACAAGATATTTCCCGGATATAAATCTCGATGTAAATATCTTTTATCATGAATAAGATCAAGATTAGTTATAATATCATGAAGTATCTTTAATTTAACCTTCCATTCAAATTTAAAGATATCTGCAAGATTTTTGCTTAATGAGCTATATTTTGCGTAACTCGTTACTAAAATATAATAGTCCGTTTTTTCGTCTCTTGATATTCCTAGATATTGTTCTAAGCTATGACAAGCTTTTAACTAAAAAAAAACACAATAATTATTATATTTAAATTATTCAAATAAAAACATATAAAAAAAATACCTCTTTTAAGAATGTATCTTTATTCTTATTCGAATCTTTTACGACCTTGATTGCTACATCTTCATATGACCCATATTGATTTAAATATTTTGATCTAAAAACTGTAGAAAATGCTCCTTTACCTATTTCTCCGATATCTCCAAATTTAACATATGCCATCCAATGAAAAAATTCTTTTTTTGCATCAGTAGTTATAGTTTGTTCAGTGATAGCAGATTTTAAATACCATTCGAAAGCAATCTATATCCTTTTCAACAACAACTCCTTTTCGGTAATATTCACCAACATCATACATTCCATTAGGAAGTCCCATCTCTGCTGATTTTTTATAATATTTGAATGCCTTATGATCATCTTTTTCAACTCCAAATCCATTCTCATAACAATATCCAACACTATATGTTCCAAAAATATGGCCCATTTTTGCTGATTTTTTATAATATTCAAATGATTTTTTTTTATTCTTTTCAACTCCAAATCCAACTCCATACCAATATCCAACCGAATTTGTTCCACCATGTCTGCAGCTTTTTGATAATATTCAAATGCTTTTCGTTCATCCTCTACAACTCCAATACCAGATTCATAACACCATCCAACAAACCGTATTCCATGAACATATCCCATACTAGTAGTTTTTTGATAATATTCGAATGCTTTTTGTCCATCTTTTTTAACTCCAATTCCACTTTAATAACATAATCCAATATTAAATATTCCTGTAGTATCATCCATATTAGCAGCTTTTAGAAAATATTCGAATGTCATTTGTTAATCTTTTTGAACTTCGATAACATTCACCTAAAGCACATAAATGACCCAAATCCAAAGGCTTTTTTTCTATATATTCCAATATAGCGGCCCTCTTTATATTTTTATCCAAGTTGATAAAGCTCTTCAGCATTTTGATTCATTGTTATTTTTTTTATATAATAAAAAAGAATATAATTTTTATTATAGTTACTTAAATCAAGTTGGTTAACAATTAACATTCTTTAATTGAGGGCGATTATCAATCTTCAAGTTGTTTAATTGAATAAACTTTATTTTGTTGTACTAATTTAGTGTACTCAAACGTTGCATTATTATTATGTTGAAATAATTATTAATTCAAACAAATAAAATTTTCAACTTTATGTAAGAGGCTAAAATACGCTTAATTTTCGATAGTAAAATTTTCTTGAATATCTATTCAAATCGTTCAAACTGTTCAATCCATTCAAAATTATGTAAAATAACTGTGACTAAGACTATCACCCGTACACAATATTATGCGGTTGAACAGATTTGATATTGTGTAATCCGTATCACACGTACAGTATGACGATCTTTACTTAATTGAATAAAGCTGTAACAAATAGTTTTAATACCGGCATGCATACACTACTAGTCCAGTTACATATAAAAGCTTCGTAAGCCCTTTAAATAAATAAATTCAAACCGAAGATGTCTACAGTAAGTGAAGATGAAACGAGAAAGGTCAATGAGAATCAAAAAACATGTAAGTTGTTGTCCGAATAAAAAATAAATCAAAGTTTTTAAAAAATATATTAAAATAAATGAATACACAATATTAGTACTTGAATATTCAGATGAGTTAGAAAAACAGTTAAAAGTGCTGTCCATAAAGCCGTTTAAGTTTTCGCAATTCACCAATATCCAAACTATTGGACATGGAGGATCCACGATTGTATACTCGGCTATTTTTGAAGACCAAAAATATGCATTAAAAAGTATAAAAAACAGTCTGCATTTAGATAACAAGTCATTTAAAAATTTCATCCAAGATGTAAAATTGTTTCTAAGTTTATTTCGTGTTAAATTCTTTTGACAACATACTAAAGAATATTAATTCATATATAGATTGAACATCTCAGAAACATTAATCATCCTAATATCATCAAGTTATTTGGTACTTCGAGAGGTATAATAGCGCAATTTTAAAAGTTAATACTATGGTTCCATGTCATTTACCGACAAACAATTTTCCCGAAAACAATTTTTTCCCTAATAATATTTTTGAAAATTTTGTTGGAAAATAGTTGTCGGACAAATTGTTGTCAGGCAAAAATTGTTGCCGGGCATGACATGGAACCAAGACTATATAGCTTTTAGTGGAAACCTAGTGTCAATCAAAATTTTAATGTGCGAAATGACGAAAAAGTGACAAGGCTGACGAAAGGTGATGAAATTGACAAAGCTCAAAGGGTGAAAAGTTAATAAAAGGCGAGATGCAAATAAATATTTTGAAAATAATGTGAATAAATAAACAGGAATTTATAAAAATTACAAAAAATTTTATTATACAATTAGGCGCTTGAATTGATTAAGGGAGTTAGAAATGAATATTCTATACTACTACACTACATATCTGTTCTAGTGAGAAATCGCTTGGTGCTTACATTGTAGTCTTGCAAATTGTGCCAGTATATTTTGTGCTATTCCACAAGTATTATGGCTTTTTATCAAGGTTATTTCAACCGGTCTATAACGACAAAAAAACGAATTGGATTAATTTGCGAATGTTATTCAAGAAAATACCTTTTTTTTTTTTTTTAGCGGGAGCACTAGGGTTTCGTCTTTTGGGTTTAGGTTTTACATTTTGTCATCTTGCGAAAAAGGTTTCGTCTAACAACTATAGTTAAGACCATATATCTAATGATACTTATTAAATGAAATTAATAAAACTTAGATCCACAAACGGGTAATTTCATGATTGTATTACAATTTGCTAAGGATACAGATTTGAGGAACTATTTGGGAAAAAAGCAAAAAAAAGGACTTTATGAAATTTCTTGGACTGAACTTATTAAATTAGCGAACGGAATCACTCATGGATTGAAATATTTACATGATAAGAAGATAATTCATCGAGATTTAGTATGTAATTTTTTGATTTCCAAGTTAGATTCTGAGATGAACTCTAAATTATTATCTTAATATTGCCTAGCATTCTAAAAATATCCTAATTGACGATGGCAAAGCATTGATTGCTGACTTTGGAATGTCAAAATATTTAAATGAGTCAGCAACTTTAAGCCCTGGTGGAGTAATAGGACTTGCATATACTGATCCACGATGCCTTCAAGATATAGAAGCTGATGAGAAATCAGATATTTACAGCTTGGGAGTATTATTTTGGGAACTTACAAGTGGAATTCCTCCGTTCTCTAATTTTGGTTTGGCGGATATCATTTTGGAAACCACAAAGGGTAAAAGAGAAAAAATTATCGAAAATACACCCGAAGAATATGCCAGTCTCTACAGTAAATGCTGGTCTTCTAATTTAACTGACCGGCCGACTCCAGATGAAATATTAAATGAGCTTGAGAAACTACTTACAGGCGTATCTGTCGAATCCATTACAAATAACCTTGTTACGCATAATTATTTATATGAAGAAACAGAAAATTGTTGGTTTATTTAAAATTATTAATTTTAATTTCTAATATTTATTGAGTTCTTTACTAATACAAAATGCTTTATTCTTTCTCTGGATTACTTACGTAAAAGATAAAGTTAATAACAAATTCAAAGAGTATTATTTACTGATCGAGAAAATCATAAATGATTCTATGATTAATTTTTTTGATTACGATGAATTCATCAATTTTGAGAAAATTTGTGAGAATGGACATGAGAAAATTCAAAAGGCATACTGGAAAAGTCGCGAGTTAACAGTTACTCTACATAATATAAAAATTGGCCTTAATATAAACAAAGAGATCATACAAGAATATATTAAGAAAGTATGAAATATAATTTTATATAAATTAATAATATTAACTTAAATATTTTTTGGAAACGATACTTCCATTCACCCTTTTGATATTTCCACCAATGTAAATCATCTTTTTTTTTGAAACTTTCAACGACTTTTTTTTATATTTGAATTCCATGGAATAATAGAATTTAAATAAAAAAGATGTTCATCGAATTTCATCTAGTGGTTTTTAATGAAAATTTTAAACGTCTATTAAAATGTAAGTCGTGGCTAAATTTTCCATGACTTTGAAGATATCTCAACAACCATCTGATGAAAGGGTTCATTGAATCTCATTAAGTGATTGTCAAGATATCTTCAGTTCAAATTTCAAAAAAGTGATTTGTATGGGTGTGGAAATATCAATTCCCTATTTTTTCATAATTTACAAAATTATTTTAACCTAATAGGTTGAAATTGTGACTAATATCAGGAGGCATCCTCACGTTTGTCAATTTTTTGGGATTGCCAAAGATCGTGATAATATGCGTTATTTTCTAATCCAACAATATGCGAATCATGGTAATTTACGGCAATATTTTAAAAAAAATTTTGATAAACTTGTATGGAGTGATAAACTGCACATGGCATTAGGAATATTAATAGGGCTTATACATTTGCATGAGAATAAGTACATTTATAAAGAATTAGTAAGTATTATATCTTTAGTAAAATTTATAAATAACTTTCAAAAGAACTCAAAAAAATATTATTTAAGAATTACAGGAATGTCTTAGTTCACAATAACAAAGTGATGCTACTTATTTTTAGCACATCCGAGCATACGAATATAGAACAAAATACTCATAGTTCTTCGTGCCATTTGTTACCTGTTTATATGGACCCACAATATCTAAAAAATCATAATTACTATCTTAGTGAAAAATCTAATATCTATAGTTTTGGAATTCTTTTGTGGGAGATTTATAGCGGTCGTCCTCCCTTCAAGAGCTTTGCTGAATCAGAAGTTATATATCAAATCTTTCAAGGAAAAAGGGAAAGTCCAGTAGAAGGTACCCCGGAGAAATATGTCGAACTATATAGCCGTTGCTGGGATGAAGAATGTGAGAAGAGACCAAATGCTCAAGAAATAATTAAAGAGCTCCAATTAATGTTAAAAGAGGAATCTAATGATAAATCAACTATACTAGAGTCTACAATAATTTTTGAAGATGAACCAATCTCTATTAGTGCTCCTGATTCACCGAAAGTCTCTCCCACTAGACAATCAACCTTTTCTATGCAATACTTAATAACCGAAGAGCAGTTCGAACTTATTTCTAAATGGATTCATGATATTTCTAAAAAAAGCATTTTGTCAAAATTACGTCTCGTTAATACTCCAGTTCCTCCATATGAATTTAAGTTGCTTCTTAGGGGAAGTCGTGATGGATTTACACCCGAAGATTTTCATAAAATGTGTGATGGAAAAGGAGCGACTTTAACTGTGCTTAAGATTAAATATGAAAATGAAATTTTAGGTGGATATAATCCATTCAACTGGGAATCTCCAATAAGTTCAAAATATTGTAACACAACAAAAAGCTTTATTTTTAAGATGAATTACAAAAATTCAGAAGGGTTTATATTAAGCAAAGCAAAGCAAAGCAAAAAAATCATAAAGCTACGTGCTGACTACGGGCCGTATTTTAAAGACTTACGTATGAAAGATGATTTTAGAAATGGAAATAAATGCCGTTATATTCACCGTCATTATGAAAAGCAAATTAGAAATTTAAAAGACTCATATTTTTCTATAGAAGAGTATGAAGTCTTTCAGGTTATTTCTGATCCAGTTCCCACCTGTGATGATTCTTCAGAACAGGTTATTGTGGGACAATAGGGTATGCGATATACTATGTAGATCAAATCTATAGTGAGTATATTAATATTACTGACGATTTTATGTAGTACAAAGAAAAATTGGTCTAACTTATTAATGTTTCTTATAAAACTTTAAATGCTATAAACTTGTGGTTGACATATTTAATTTATACAAATTTTATATAAATATAAACAACTCATTGTGAACTTTAAAATAAAAAGTGCTTTTTTAAACTGCTTCATTTTTATTGCAATCATAAATGATCAATTGCCATTTCGGAGATAAATTTTGAAGGTTCAGAAAAATTCACTCTTTTACATTATTAAGCAATTCGTTGACAAGATTTTTATCTAAATATTACAACTCTATCTCTAAAATTAAGTGATAAGTTGCATTTTTAAGCAAAGTTTATTATAATGCCAAAACTTGGAAACAACAGATACAGAACATGTTCTCTTAAAAAAAGTCAAAATGTTGTCTATAATAAAAAAATAAAAAAAACATATGAATTTACTATAAGCTTTAAGCTGAGGATCCTTTTAAACTAAGTTAATTAATTTAAAATTAAATTTCATGATCATATAAAACAAAAAATCAAAGAAATTTTGAGCTTAATAACCAAGTTAAAATTTTGCTAATTTTGTTTAATTTCAAAAGTAACTTTATTAAAACAATTTTAAATTAGTAATTATATGTAAAATTATATTCTAAACAAGTTTACTTAGAAGTAAAGTGTGTGGCGACTTAGTGAATGGTAGAGTTGTCACCCCCCAAGCAGCAGGTCTAGAGTTCAAATCCCACGGATGACGATTTTGAAAAATGGATCTGTGTTTCGGTTAACAGTTATTGATTATCAGTTGGATCTTAATCTGTAATCTCGGTTACACTATCTAGTAATGCGAGCTTTGGCGCAATAAATCCGAGGAACCGGAATAACTGAAAACCCATTTGGCAAGTCCCGAGTTGGGATGTAGCAATAATTTTCGACAGTACCACAGGAGGGCTGAATTTGAACCGGGGCCCGAGATCGGAAAACTAAGTGATCAGGTTCTAAATGGTGGAGGACACACTAGCCGAACTGCTGGGTTGTCGCACCGGAGGAAAAGGGCATACGCTCCAAAAGTATGGACCAAGGGGAGGGTGTTCTTCAGGCACCTAAAGCCTGGGCAGACTGACCCATCCGGGTTGCCGGCTAGAAGTAAGAGAGGACCGATAGAGAATCCGGGTAAGGAGATAGTTCCAAATGCGGGTACTGGGGTTGTTGGAAACCTTACAAGGGCAGTGAGTACATAATGGGCAACTAATTAGAAAGGTTGTGCTTAAGATACGGATCAAGTTATAGCAGCACCCCAAAAGTTGGCTTGAGATACGAACCCAATGGTGGCAGTACAACATGTACTAGTTAGATAAGAAGTTACCGAACATGCAGGTGAATACATGTGTGGGACATGGACCAC